TTATAACAAAAAAAAAAAAGAACCTTTTTTTTGACTTCTTTCACAATAACCCAGAAAAAAAATATATTTTATATCGATATATGTTCCGAATAAAAATAAAAAACTTGTTCATATTACATTGAGTGTATGTAGTGCCTAAGATTATTGTGCAAAAATGATCATCCGATGTGCTTCTCCTTTTCATAACTAATGATCAGACTATTTAAAATATGATATGGCCAATTTTTTCATTTAATATGAATGAAAGAGACAAAAGCAGCCATATTTCACCTTCTTTAACTCTTAATGTAAAAAAAAATCAATTTGTTCCATTTCTAGCTTGAGTTCAACTTTTTAATATATTTACTTTTCGAGAATATCTCTTACCCTTATTGAAGACGAACAACATTACTGACTAATTCTTTCCTTGTAAAAACTTCTTTTTCTTTTTCTCTAGGTATCCGTTTTACACTCTCAATGTTTTAATAAAATAAACGATTGTTATAAAATACATCTAATCGGTTTAAATTAGTATTCATTTTTCTTTTAAATTTATAGAGTAATGGAAGCTCTATATAAGAGAAATTGAATCGTTTGGTATGTTAGACGTGAAATCTGACGCATGCATAAGAGAAATAGAAAAGAAATAATGGAAGAAAAAAAACTTTTCATACTCGCAATCTCTCTGCCAAAATCACAGACGATTGTATCTAATAATTGCCATTTCAAATTGAAAAGTATACCTGACTAGTATCAATCACAGACTATAATGAGGATCATATTATTTGTTGAATAATATTTTAAGAAAAAAATAAGTAAAGATGTGTTTTTATCATTTTGTAATCAAATCATACAAGAATGTCTAAGGTAGATGATAGATAGCATCCCTAAAAATGTAAAATTATTGTATTTATAGACTAAATATCTAAGAAGATTTTTGAAAACTTACTCTCGATAGAAAATAATTATTTTAGTAAGATTTTTTCATTTTTTATATCAGTAGTAGAGAAATTACCATCTATGCTTTTTTAAACTGGTTTATGTAAACTTTTATGTCTAAACAGTTAGTAGTCAACTATAGTTTTCCATTGTGAAACGGTAGTTATTAGACAGAGTGTCTCTTGATATCATCTGTAATCATGTTTGAGAGATTGCGTGTATGAAATCATTTTTTCATTGTTTCTTTTTCTCGTCACTTTAATGCACGCGTCAGATTTTCCATCCAGTATATCATGAAATGATTCTAAATACTAATGAAATGATGAAAAATTATTTAGTCTCTTAGATACAACAATTGAACAATGTATAAAACTTAATCAAGTAGAAATTAATATATTTATTAAGACAATGTATTGTCCGTATTAATAAAAAAATAATTCAAACATCATACATCAACAAAAACAAATTGTGCTATTTTCAATTGAAAACAGTATGAAATTTGTCAGAGAATAGAACCTATGTATGTTTAACCTTTTCTTTAGATCGTGCCTTTACCTGCTGTCATGATCCATGAAATTGATTTAATAAAAATAAAAAGGGATAAAAAATTGCCTGTTCATAGACGACTATGAACTCTCGTCCATTCTGATTGTCTCAGTCTAAGAATTATTAACTTTCAGTGTTGAACGTTCATCCTACTTAATAACATACTTGCCATCTTACTGTTTACATAGATACGACAATATAGTACGTACCATTTGGAACAAAGCTATTTTTTCTCGTCTTTTTTTTTAAAATAAGAATCTAAATGAAAATAAAATGTTCAGCGATGACCATTGTTTTCGTTCTAAGGGATGATCGAGAACTTCCCCTTATTTAATTGCTGACTGTAAACACAAAATTATAAAACAGCTAAAACTTACATATATCTGTATATACCAAAAATCTGTTTAGTCCAACGAATATGTTCATACAGTAGCGCATATGACTATGTGTAAATGGGGCTGATACAGCTTACAATTATATATGTTCAACAATCTAACTATAATGTTTGTCCTTCATCGTATGTTGTGTTTCATTTATGCTGTTAATGGACAGCTTTTCTTATTCTCCATATCTCTCTCTTTCTCTCTCTCTCTCTTATTTAAAAATGTATAGTAGTCCCTATTTAATAGAAAGAAGTTGTTCTCATATATGCATATATATGAAAAGAAACCTCATCACTCTTTCTTTTAAATCAGTCTTAGTTCATACGCCCCGCAAGGTCATTCGCACTCATTTATAGTATGTATGTTTGTATTTGTGAATCTATTATTATATGGTGATCTAAGAATCATATCAGTTTTTCATATTAATGTTGAAAAAATCAAAGCACAAATTCATGCAAGAAACAATCAATTTCCAAAAAAAATATTATTACCGTGCTTCTATTAGATAATTTATTTTTTCTGAATATCGCTTACATAAATCGCCGAATAGAGTAGCTCTATTCATGGAGTTCTAAATATATCAGGGGCATACGCTCTATTTTAAATATCAGAATGTGTTTTTTTCAAAGGTTTCATTATGCTTGTTGTATAGTACAAAGATTAAAGAGAAAAATGCATCATCACTTTCGTGCTAGATCATATTGTGCATACATATGTGAAGAAGAATCAACATATCACTATTATATTCAATGTTCACTTGTTAATTCGCATATAACATAAAAAACTAACTATTATATGAATAAATATCAAAATTAATCAACAAAATAAACTTAGAATATAAATGTGTTATAAAAAAATTATTTAGATATATGAAACGTTCAGAGACGGCTAGTTTTTGAAAGTGGATCGATGCGCTAATTATAAACCACTCAAATTCTTGTTTGTTTCATGAACAGTCTTGTATGTTGAAAAATTCATAGATAGACATCACACTTCTTGACGAGAAAGAGAATGAATTCTTTCTATATAGTAATAATAATAACAATTCTCTCTCTCTCTCTCTCTGTCTTTATATATATTCAAGTTGAGGATTTACAACAGTAGAATGAAGAAGAAAAAAAAAAGTGCAAATTTACAATTATAATTATCAAGTTTCTTTTCTCTATACAAACATAGAGAAGATAATATATCCAGACTATGAACTTTTCTATTTAGGATGGGTTATGCTATAATTTCTAATACTTAAACACTTGGTAAACATAGAAAAAATAGATGCCAATTTAACACAGTGATGGATCACCGTTTTTCTTTAACAATCAATCAACCAATCCATTCAGATTTTGGAAAGAAAAACAAAATTAAATTTCAATATAAATTACTTCAAATGTTTTCATCGTACACAAATAGTAATTATTAAAAATAATAGATATTCTATCTAGTTAAAGTTTGTTTTGTTTTTTAACTTTCAAATTTTTTTTTTATTATCAAATTAATTCACTTGAAAATATTATTTCTGACTGTATAGTAAACTGTTCTATTGCTATCCAGTCGGCTACTTATGATCGATACAATTTGTATATAAAAATTGTATAAATTGTATCGATCAACCAAATAGAAGAAAAAGAGAGAAGACAGTAACTATAGTTGTCTATAGAAGAGAAAAAGTACAGACTGAACCATCGTTCATCTATCTATTCTCTCTCATATAACGATTATTATTACTTCTATTATACATATATTAAATGCAAAACTTTCTTCTTCACTCTTCAGATACTATATATAATAGAAAACAAAAAAAAGAAAAAAATTGGTATATACTCTTTCAATTTTCTCTGTACATGCATATTAAAACATCTAAGTCTAGACAGCTGATAGGAGAAAAAAAAAAGAACAGAAGTATCTGGAAAAAGATAAATAACGTACGACAAACGTTTATGTCAAAAATGCTAATTAATTTAGAATTATATAACTTTTATCTCGATGATTGTTTATTATTGCTAATTATAAAGCAATTACAGAAAATGCATCAATAGGCGTTCAACCATAGAACGATAAAAAAAAAAGACAAATCTCAATGCAATCTTAAAAAAGAATGTTCTCAAAATTTAGCAAACTTGAAACGTACAAATATTTCTTACCAAATTGGAAAATCTTATTGGAATCCTAAAAAGCTCGATACTCATAATAATGAAGAATATTTATACCATTTCTTAGACTTAGATTATCTACCATTTTTTCTTACAGTGTTATATGAGATAATATATGACATGTTAGAATTGTATAATTTATTATTTACCTGCAAAATATTCTCACCAACAAAATATTAATTTTCTATGCGTTTCTTAAGCAGAAAACTTTCACCCTATCATCTTATATAAAAAATAATATTCTCTTTGATTTGATTATTGATCTTTTTCCCTTTTTTTTTTCTAATCCTTTTGAAAATGTTAAATGCATGATGTATTTTCGACAAATAATTGTGTTTTTAGAGTTAATTAAGAATAGAAGTAGAGTAAATTGATATACGCTTGCCTAATAGAATGGTTGAGAACTTTTTTTTGCCAGTACTAACATTTATATTCGACTAACTTAGAATAGATAGGAAAAAGGAAAAAAATAGTTGATAAGATGTCATGCATCATTAGGAGTGTCGTGTTTTTCTTTTTCTTCCAGAACAACGAAGGTCAATTTTGTAGTGTGAAACATTAGGAATAACATCTGCATGCGTCAAAACAACGACTTGTAACCGTCGATCTAAAAAGCGAACTTTGACGTATACACAGTTATATTATCCTACTAAAAAACAAACATACAGAAAATATTTTATCTTATAGAAAGTCAACAATCAAATATATATGACAAAAAAAAAAATAGTAATTTACAAATTACAACAGTCATTTTGACTAGAGATTAGATAGAAAAATTTATGATGAGATTCAGATGAAAAAAATTCATATGAATATGCTCATTATCAGAGAGTAAAAGATGTTTTTCAATTTTAGATAAGAAAAACAACAAATGGAATGATACAAAATTATATCTTCCAACTAACATAATAAAAAATAAATACATCTAAAGCTCACAACGTTTTTGTATTAGAAACACAACAATAATATCATCAATTATGATTAGAGGAGATGAAAAATGACTGTTTTACAATGATCTGAATATTGCATATGTACAAATAACAACAATATGGCTTGCAAAATTTAATTTAGACCATTTTTCTAATGTATGTTGTAAACTATAACCAATATATTGTTGTTGTGAATTATCAAATAATTGTCCAAGATATGTTAAATGCCAAAGACTTAAAACAGATAATAAACAATTTACTGTGAATGTTAATGGATGCCAATATTTATAGCTATGATCACATGATAAACAATTTTTTGCCATAACGCATGAATCTAAAATGTTTGATAGTTTTTTTCGATAACCATATTCAACATAAGCAAAGATACCGATAGATAATAGAACAATTGATAATTGAAAATTAAATCCGTGTAATAGAGCTGAAGCTAAATATGTAACAAATATTGATAAAAAGTGGCCATATTTTAATTTCATCGGTTTATAAACATAAATTTTCAACCAATAGTGCATGGGAATATTCCAATTGATAACAACGTCAACTAAAGAATGAGGAAGTTCAATTTCATAGGGTTTAACAATGGATGAAGATCGACATAGTGACACTAATTCTGATGATTTTTTCGTTGTTGCAACAAATGGTTGTTGTTTAGCAGTGAGAGTAAAAGATGATCGAGATGAACTCAATTTTTTTTTCAATGGTGCTGTTAATGATTTTTTCTTTGACATTGAATTTGATGAACGTCGAATAATTGGTGAACGATATGGTTGAGGATAAACTGTCATTTTATCACTATCTTGATTAACTTTTTCTAAACTATTATCTGCTTCGATGTTATCATCACGATTATTATTCATTGTATCAGTTGTGTCTACATTAATTGGAAACATTAATTCTTGTGGAATACTGGAAAAAAGAAAGAAAAATTTTAAATTCAACTATTCTATCTCGGATAGAAAACACTATGTCAAATACATAAATGGTCAACAAATGGGTTTGAAACACATACTTGAGATTTCTTTCGTCTATATTTACATTTGTGTCTTCTTGTATATCACCTTTGTTGATTTCACTTGGTTCAACCGTATTCACGACCACTGGATCATTACTATCTGTGACAGTTGTTGGCATTGTTAAATGAATATTTTCTAGTTTTTGATCCTCCTTTTGTTCGGTATATTTCTTTGATAACTGTTTATTTTTCTTTTCATGTGATTTTTTTCTAGTTAAAATTTCTGTCACAACTTTGTCATTTTCATTTATTTTTTCTTTGTATTGTTGATATATTTCTTGATAATTTTTATATTCTTCCACATCGAATTCAATACCACTGATAAGTCCAAATAATTCACCAATAAAACATATACAGTAATGACTAAAACGATAGGTTAATGCTTGAAAATAAGCATTTGTCCAACTATCACTCGCCTCTGTATGACTATCAAAAAAAAATGTAATTTGTTGAAACCAGTCTGTAAAACAATTTGATATAATTAGACATAAACATATTTTAAATAGACAATAAAACCATTTAATTAATTCAAAAAAATCTATTTTTCGAATGACAACAAGATTCTTCGTTGTCTGAAAATATCTGATATAATTTCGATAATTTAACCATGGTCCAAATACTGTATTATTAATTGATAACATATAACTTAAAAATTCTGTTGTAGATAGACATTTAACAAATGTATCTTGTTCTTCTGTTAGTTGTTGAATATTTTCATTTGGTGATGGAAATGTTTGTTCAAAATATTTATAATCGATAGAAAACGAAATCATTTTCATCATTAAACACATCTGAACACCACGGATACCTGAGAAGAAGAACAGATGAACTAATAATAATATTTTTCGCTCACAAAATCGGGCTTATGACATGGGCACAAATAGTTTTGTGTTCGAGGACGGGCTGGCGAATTCAAGACAATAGAAGTGTGCTCCACAGGGCTCTACATAGTATAGAGATATACAGGATGCTCCTACTCTATCCTTCATGGTAAAGCAGGCTCAATAAACAGCCACCTTGCACATCTCTATCACAGTGAAAAATACGTACGGTGCCATTTTTCTTGTTCAATTAGAAAAAATTCACATGTTAACAAATAAATAACTGAAAAACAAATAATAATATGTGTCAAAAATATTCTACATTTACTTAAACATAGTTGAAATGATAGATAAGATAATAGAATATATGAAAGCAACAAAAATGATTGAAATTGAAAATAATTGTACAATAGTAAAACACTTGCCAGAATTTGTATTCGATGGAGTGTACGATTGGAAAAAATTTTTGTTAAACATAATAAACGAAATGCAAAACAATAAATAAGAATATATAATAATTGACTAAATAACTGGGTTAAAGATGGTGATATACAATTCTCTGTTAAATCAATAAATGAGTAAACAAGTGGTGAGGAAGATGATAAAGACGATTTTGTCGCGGTTCCGACGAGTATTGATGATTTGGAAGCAGATGACAAATTGGCTTGTAACGATGTTAAACTTACACTACCGTCACTATACGGTAAATAATCATCAAAATAGGTTTTTTCATCAAATATCCAGTCTTGATAAGTAAACAATGTGTCATCATCATATCCGTCGGTATATTCATCAACATAATAGTCATCTGACGAGAGCATTTTGATCTAAAAGAAAAAGAGCAGAGCAGAAGATTCAGTGAATACAATCAACAGTAATGTTTCACAAATACTGTTTAGCTTTTTTTCTCCTTTTACAAACAGAGCAAATTTTTTGATAACAACATGAATTTTATTTCTCATTGTCCAATATGTAAAACAATGACCATAATAGACAACTATGTAGTATAACAATTAGCTTAGATAAAAAATTTTTGAGCAAATAGAATGCAGAAAGAAAAAATTATGCGCGATTTATTTACTTAAACTTTATTTAATTCTTCTCCAATTTGACAAAAATCTTTATATAGATTCAATAATGCTCCCGTATTCACATTTGTATCAGCAGCTACAATAAATATAAATGGTGGTATATTATAGGTAATAATTTGCCGTGATGACCAATAAGTGACAACTGTTTTTATATTCTTCAAATTCATCCTTTGACTTTGATCACTCAATACTTGTGCTGATGGTACAACTAATTGTAAATTGTCGACTGTTTGTGCATTTGGCAATTTTAATATGGGTAGACTATCTTTATCTAATACTAGAACGGCTTCGATACCATCGATATGATGAAATAAACGTGGTAATGACATTTTTGAACAAGAATACCTCTGAACGCAAAAAAGAAACTGGTACTGCATTCATGAAACAAAAAGTAGTTCTAATCGATTGATGTATAGGAAAACACAAGGCATTATGTTAAACTTAAAAACTCAGCTGATTGCTCTAATATTGCGTCATAGCGTTTCTAATAAGATTTACAATCAAAGTGGAGCAAAGCTATCGAATTGTGCCCTAAAACTGGGACCTATCTCAACTTTATAAAGCTGAGTTAAATTTGTTCTATTCTTGTCCTAGTAGTACGAGTAAAACGAACGTGTATTTGAAAATAAATGTAACAGATAGAGTAAACTATATACAATATAGAATAAAACAATCGATTATATATTTATTGTGACAAGTCGTTCATCGTAGCAATCGCAAGAAGAAAAAACTGTATCGCAAAGCAGTTTTCCATTTTCAGAGCAGAGAACAGGGCGAAAATTGGCTTTTACAAAGTGGAAGACCACCTATCATTAGAAACGCTTTTGCGTCATGTGAGCAAAAGAAATATATGCTTTATGAATTTCACGTAAAGTTTTCCATAGGATCTCGTAAATAATGTTTCTAATAAGAACTTGCAGAAAGTAGTTTTCCACAGTTTACCCCCGCATTTTCCACGTTTTCCCCGCTAAAAACAGTGGAAATCGAATATCACTGTGCTGATGTTTCAACCATCAATCATTAGGAACGCTGCTCTTAAGTTCCGTATTAATAAATTCCTATCGACAGGAGAGTACCCAAAATGAAAAGAAACCTAACAATATTTCGACGGATTGAGACACCTAGTACTCTTCTTCGGTCAGATGCGAAGTTAAAACAAAATACACTCTGATAAACAAAACGAATTCTCTAGATTTTTGAATAATAATAACATAAGATAATTTTGCCTAGCATCTTTTATATCAGCTTTCAACCCAAGGATCCAACAAATGCTTCGTATGATATTTTACCATGTGATTGGTGATCAATGAATGTAAGAAAAGAAGAAAAACTTGGAGAGATGTCGCGTCTCTATGATGTACTTCTGCTTGATACATTCCTCGTTTTTATTTTTCTCCGTGTTTATTTGATTTTTAATGGATAAGTGCCCACGTTCCCTCACTCATTTTCATTACCTTGGACTGAATACCAGTTCTTTTTAGTTTCCTGTAAGGAATTTTCTTGATGGGTTAGAGTTCAAATGTATATATAGACTTTCTATATATATATTTTCTATTCATATTGAAGACATATGTTGCATCATATCACCGACAAAAAATTAAAGTTCATTTAGAGTTAAAGAAAAGTGCTTTTTCGTATTCAGCACACTTGATAACCTGAAAAGTTTTCTATTTTTAGCGAGGGGTACCGCCAAAAAGTTAAGAAAAATTTTCAAAATTGTATAATTTTGCCATGGAGATTTTTCTGCGTCACTTTGTTTGAAATTTTTCTTAAGTTTTTGGCGGTACCCCTCGCTAAAAATAGAAAATTTTCCAGGTTATCAAGTATGCTGAATACGAAAAAGCACTTTTCTTTAACTCTAAACAAACTTTAATTTTTTTTATCGGTGATATGTGTCAGTCAAAAAGCGGATATTTTAATAGTTTATTTAAAACTGATGCGTCAGATTTTTATATAGGCTTTCTGCTGAAGAAACATTTCCATTCCAGATACATCTGAAATTGAAAATTTACAATGTGACCAAAATTTGATCTTAAAATGAAAGTGTGAAAGGCTAATATCTTTTAGTCAGTATCTACTAGGTGTAAAAGTCAGAAATGAATTCATCCACCATCCACGAAAGTGAGAGGTATCAGAAAAGGTCTCCAATCTACAAGAATAATGACTAGCCAGAATCCAGACTAAAGAGAAATGATAAATACAAAAACAAAAGAAACTAGAGTATAATATGTACGCGATACGAAAATAAACAAAAAAGCAAAGCATAAATAGAAAATTAAAAGGGCACAACTAAAATGGTTTCGCTGTGTAGAAACATCTCATTTTTTAATACTTGCGGCGCAAGTTTACCGCAATCGAAAGTATGGGATGACTCTATTTTACTGTAAAAGATATTGGGATAAACTTTTTGAATTAATTTAAACACCAAGAACGCGTATCTGGCTCTGGAACTTTATTTCATTTAGTAATAGTTGAATAGAAGGGATAAGAACGAACAATTATTGGAGAATATCCCGTCAGCAGGAGCTAGAATACAACATTTTTGGAATAATGAAGATGTAAAGACGAGTAGTGTGCAATGGCGGATCCAGCCCACGAGTGGCCGCTCGTACCTATTAACCCAAAACTGTTTTTTTCCAGCAAAACTCTCTTAGAATAATTTGTTTCTATGACGAGCGCACGTCTCGCACTTTTATCGTATACCGTACCAGAGAATAACTCTGGATCCGTCACTGGTAGTGTAGACGATGAATAATGTAGATGTAAACAGAACCAAGACAATGATAAGTGTTGAACATGGTCTTAATTCTAGCTTATTGGAATTTCTACCCATATGTATTCATCCATATGTATAGTTATCCTTAGTCGACACTCCATGATGATATTCCCGGAGAATCACCTTTTCCAGAGCCTTCGTGGGGATTTTATCGAGGAGAATCGATTAGGGATGTACCTCATTAACTCTCCTAACTCCGGCACTGGTGTGTGACGATGTGCCTTATATATATATATAAGTGCATTTTAATCTCGTTTAAACACGATCAACTGTCCAATCTTTCCAACCTGTACATACACCTGTGCACACATATGTATATATATACACATACACTTTAAACATTGGCGCACTTCGTTTTTTACTAACGAATAAATCTGTTTTGAACAAACATTTTGTAACTTAACAAATGAGAATATCGGAACGAAATCAAAATATTGATTTTTACTGGTTAAACCCGATATGAAAAGAGGAAAGAATAGAAGGGTATTATATGGGCTTCACACATGGAATGTTTAAGGATTGTCCTTTCGGGAACGTACCACGCTTACATCGACTTAGAAATAAACAAAATATTTTTATATCGTTTTATTCACACCTCTATATCGACACTCATTGAAACTTAACAATACAATCAAAGTTGTCAAATCAACTATGCATGATTTTTTTTTATGCATCATTATTGTACGTAAAATGCATAAAATAAAGCTTTCTTTTTTTTTAACGTGTCCGAATTGTTCGAGAGTAACAGGACTAGTACAACTCGGCCTCCGGGTGACGAATATCACGTTTAAAAAATTTTAAAACAATGGCATGGTGGCCTTCTAGACCTGTGAAAATCCCATTTCCCAGC